CATCTAAAATTACACTGCCAGTAAATGGTAAAGCTAGAGACCAAATTCAGGACTGATTCCAGAGGCCATGCTTTTTGTACTTTACCATATAGAAGGAAAAATAAACCGAACTAGAACTGAGTCCATAAAAAATAAAAATATACAATATGCATCACAACTGCATAGAAAACTGTGGAAGCTCAGGCCTGAGGAAAGACAGCGAAAGAGCGAATGGTTAGGGCCATTGCAAGTTTAATGGCAGGGCAGGGTTAGAACCCATTTCTTCTAACTCTCAGTCCAAGACCTTCCAGCTGTTATATGCTGAACACAGCAACATGGCTTTGTGCTTAAGAGCAGAGGCTCTGAGGGCGCCTGGGTGGCTCAGTTGGTTAAGCGACTGCCTTTGGCTCAGGTCATGATCCCGGAGTCCCGGGATCAAGTCCCACATCGGGCTCCCTGCTCGGCGGGGAGTCTGCTTCTCCCTCTCTCTCTCACTCTCTCTCTCTAATAAATAAATTTAAAAAAAAAAATCTTTAAAGAAAAGAGCAGAGGCTCTGGCACAAGAGTGCCTGGGTGAGAACACTTGTTCCACGGGTTACCTGTCACACTGGGCCAGTCATCTAATTCCCTGGAGCCTCCATGTTCTCCCCAGAAAGTGGAAAAAATAATGGCATCTCCATCCAAGAGTTGTGAAGACTACAGGGAAGGACAGGAATAGTAATGCACCTAGCACAGAGCCTGGCATACAGTTCATGTGCAATGTTAGCCATTCTTATTAAGGAAGGTCAGGGTAGCACCCTGAAGAGAGGAAAAGAAAGAATAGGTATGGTTATTTGGGCTGAGGTTGATGCTCAAAATGTTCTAGCAGCTTCAAGGTATTATTATTTTGCTTTCAAAGACTTCTCAAGTATGGGCAATTCTGAGTCAGAACCAGCTTTGACATGAGCTCTGACCTAAAGGATGTCAGAACCTCTACGCATCCTTGCCTATCAAACTAGCTACCTATCAAATAAATAAATAACCATGAAACTGCTCTGCATGCTGAGAAGTGCCATACAAATGAAGAGATGTGTATTATTACTCTTAATGATACTGTCATCACCGTACAGTCCACCTTGGCCAGTGTGAACTTTAACATGTCACTTGTAAGGGCCATATTACAGAGCAGGAAACAAGGACGCAGGATAAGGTCACTTACAGAAATCCTAATATTTAGTCATAATATTAAAATACAAAGAAAGCTGAGAAGTATGGAGGGAAAAACAAGATCAGTCTCAGCTCTGGTAGCCCCCAAAAGACTGAAACTCACTTGAAATGCCCAGTGACCAGGGATAGATAATGGTAAGCCTAATAACATGAGTAAGACCCTCAACTCAGACCTTCCTGGGTCAGGATGTACCTTTCACAAGAGGCAGTGGCATGTTTGTTGCAGAGGATTTGGTGACCACCAAAATCCTTTTCTAAAAACATTAAAATTCAATTCCTTATTTCTTGGATTAATCAAAATAACTGAGTGATGAGGATAAGGGTTTGGGAGTCAGGAGAGGGATTTTCTCTTTTTTGTAAATTACAGACATTTTTAAGGTGCTTTGTTATGAGCACATTTTTTTAATTTTATTTTTTTTAATGATTTTTTTTTTTTAATTTGAGAGAGAGAGAATGAGAGAGAGAGCAGGAGAGGGAGGAGGGTCAGAGGGAGAAGCAGACTCCCTGCTGAGCAGGGAGCCCGATGCGGGACTCGATCCCAGGACTCCAGGATCATGACCTGAGCCGAAGGCAGTCGCTTAACCAACTGAGCCACCCAGGCGCCCTTTTTTTAATTTTAGAAAAGGAAGAAAGGGGAAGAGGAAAGGAGTAAGAGTTAGAAAGGTTAAAGAATTACAGGAACAGAAAATCCAGTATCTATCTATTCATGAATGCTCTACAGCAAGCTGTGGAGTTTCTGGACGACCTACCCCTGAAGAGTCAAAAAACTGGGGAAAGAGATGCCTCCCCAGAGCTATCTAAGTGGATCCCCAGACAGGCTGGGCTATGGGCAGAGGTCCCACTAAGGTCTAGTCATTGCTGTTTCCTCTCCCCTGGTCAGCCCTGCTCCACCTTTCACCCCCAGCATCTGCTCAGGTCACCTAAGTCCATCTCGGCCGGACACCTAAGAAATGTAATCCTACACAGTAATCGTATCTTCCTGTTTACATTGTGTCACATTCCTGGCCTTTAAAAAAAGTAAAAGAAAAAACCCCCTACTTCAGATGCAAGGCCTTCCCTACTACATGTAGACATTGCCATCCTCAAAATTCCTTTCTTGACAGGGATCTACAGGCTAGGGTGGAAAAACACTGCCGCCTCAGGTCTGTTCCTAGACACGTGCCCCTTCCTCTGACTCCTCCAGCCTTTCTTCCTCTTGCACACCTTAAGCAGAGCAAGATGTGATGATTGGCTCTACAGTGCCCAGGTCTGGTCTAGTCTAAGCCCCTCACTCCCCACAGTGCTCAGTCCAAACAACACCCCAGGGAGGAGGCGCTGAACTGCAGTAAAAGCCAAATGGGAAAGAAAAGGACTGTGGACTGCAGAATAAGTGCTAAAGAAATCTATCTGTACGGTATAAACGATACTGCCCTGAAATGCCTATTTAGTTAAACCATAAAGGAAGATTCGCAGAGACTCCTTTCAGCAGAGGTCACTTATGTTTCTTGAATCTCTCTCAAGTACAGCTACCTCTGTACCTGTATTACTCAGCAAATCTGTCAAATCTTTCCATCTATAAAGAGACAACAGTCTTTTACCTCACCATAGAGGCACTGAGGAAATATGAAAATGCTCTGGGAATCACTCTCTCTCTCCCGCTCTCTCTTTCTCTCTCGCTCTCTCTCAATGCAAGGCAGTTCACAAGCCCAGCCACCTAGCTTAGAATATGATCCTGGGCTTATGGCAAATCTTTTTAAAGTTAAACAGAAAAATGTTCAAGTCTTGACCAGACTAAACTAATTATCACCTAAAAGACACTAAATGTTCAGCTGTTTTCTATCCAGGTGTTAGGGTAAAGAGACTGGAATTCCTTGTGAATTTTCTTGAGAGACTAACCTAACTGTCCAAGCTAATCACAGAATAGGCTTTAGGATTCTATGAGAGAGAATTCTCTTAAGGTGAACTCCTTTAAAAGCAGGATATCACCAGCTGCCCAATCTTCCTCACAGAGCTGCTGGGCAGGAAAATGCAGCGGTGCACAGCACTCACAGTCACCACAGTAAGCTATCACGAAAGTTTTCACTTCCTCTGAAAATGCTCCCACCTGCAGCCTCCTATTCTCTGCCCCCTCCAGACCACTACCTCCTGTCTGCTAAAGGGAATGTGAGGAAAAGACGCCTCAGGGGTCACTAAAGCCCACCTCTTGAGCATCCAACCCAACGGGAAAAAGCCTCTGTCTCCACTCCTGACAGGGCTGCTAGAAATCATGAGAGCCAAATCAGCAGGATCACAGTGAAGCCAGGACTTCCAGCTGCACAGAATTACCCTTCAGGCTCGGGAGGACAGCTACCTACACACGCCACTCTCCCTCCCTCCCCCATCCTGTTACCTCCGCACTTGGGACTTGGTGCCAAAGGCTCAGCCTGGAATGCTGCAGGGCCTCCAGTATCTGATGGGCGAGTAAAACATCTCCCCACATAGCCCGGCTCACCCAGGCAAGGAAAGGCACTTGGCTGGCTTAGAGAAAAGGACTTCTCATACCTTCATCCTCATGTTGAACAAATGTGTCATCCTTCAAAAACAGATAAACCCAGACCTCTCCAAGAAAAGCCCTGAAGGAATCAAATCCCAGGTTCTCTAGCCTGTGTGGACTGTAACCATGCTACTGTGACTCAACCCCTTCAGGCATTTAGAATTCAATCTGGCAGCTGGAGGAGACACTGGCTGTCCTTACATCCACTTCCAAGTCAGGGCTGTGTCAGCAAGACACTACTTTCATTTAATAACAACATATAATTGAAACTTAGAATCTGTCTAAGCCTTTCTTTAATCTGAACTTCTAGTCTTCTAATTATTTTAAGAAAGATCTGAATATTTGCTATTACAGGATCTTCCCACTTCCTAAATTTATCCTTTCAGCTGCTAAGGATCACCTATGGATTTAAAGAACAAGTCTGTATCCTTCCTAAGCAAAATGAAGACTGAAAAAAAAAGAAAGAAAGGAAAACAAAACAAAACAAAACCCTCATCTCTTCAGTCTAACCCAAACAGTAGCCCCACCTTCCCCTGGACATTTCATAAAATGGAAAAACACGGGATGAGCGTCAAGACCTATATTCTAATGCTAGCTGCCACAAACCACTCTGTGACCCAGAGCTCGTGGCTGCACTTTTCTGGGTCTCAGCTGCTTCTTTGAAATAATACAGGAAAGCTGGATTCACGATGTTAGGTAGCTCCGACTCTTAGAGATCACTTGTCCATTCTCTTAGAGTTCCCTTCCTTTCCAGGAACTTTCAGCTACATGTTTAAGATGCCCATGCACCCAGTTCCTATTAAAATTCCAATGAGCTATCCACAAACAGTTTATGTTCACCCTGCACATCGTATTTTTCCAAATCCTGCTGGCCCGTTGGAGAGACCTATTTAATAACATTTGTAAGGCACGATTTGTTCTAAGAGATTTACATAGGTTGAACCATATGAAGCTGCCAACATTCATACATTTTTACCACACAGAAATAGCAATTTCCTATGGTTTGAACTACCACATTAACTTATTTATTCCTCCTTATAATCCCCATGAGGTAGGTTTTATAAATGAGGAAACAGGAGCACAAAGAAGTTAATAACTTGCCATAGTCACATACATAGCTAAGAGATGATAGGGTTTGGATTTAAACCTGGGCAGCTGAGCTCCTGAGCCTGTGGTCCTACCATAATGTTATATGGCCTCCCGTAATGGGAATAAGAACAGCTTGAAAACTGGGAGTCCAGACCAAGGTAGTGTCTCAGAAGGAGAGTGAGAGGCTCACACTGCAGCCTCTGTTGGGTTGTACCTTTCACTTCAATGGTGGCATTTGCTTTAGGAGCACTGACAAAGTGATATACACAGTGGTATTCGCCTGAATCCTCAGCTCTCGGCTTATTGATCCTGCAGGGATGAGAAAAAAAAAAAAAAATCAAGTGAGGAAGCTGGGAACAAACATACGACAAAATATACAACAAAAGAATCAAAAGGGCAACCAGGGACTCTGCTCTCCAAACTGTGTCCCTGAATGCAACTCACCTCCTCCTAACTAAAAGCAAAAACCTCCCTCCATGTATTACAAAACATTAATGCTTCACTCCTTACTGGATGTCTGGAATACAAAGATGGAATGATACATGGTCTCTCACCTTAAACAAGTAATCAAAACAGAGGGCTGTACAAAACAGACTCTATTTAGATATAGAGGATGGAGCCATCAATAAAAACTTCTTGCTCACCTGGTGGTTCTAGTCAAATAAGAGCGAGCAGGAAAAAAAGCAAATCTTCTGTGCTTCCCTAAAGACCCTGTTTTGGTCTTATTCTCCCCACACTGTATTTCAGTAGCATGCCTTTCAGTAAGTCTACTCACTAACAGGACCAAAGAGATAGTGGAGAGAGAAAAAAATCTCTGACATCAGAGCACCAGCCACAAAGATGCAACTAAACTTTTAAGACTTTTAAGTACAGGGATGCTTGGGTGGCTCAGTCGGTTAAGTGTCTGCCTTTGGCTCAGTTCATGATCCCAGGGTCCTGAGATCCAGTCTGGCATCAGGCTCCTTCCTCAGCAGGGAGCCTGCTTCTCACTCTGCCTGCCGCTCCCCCCGCTTGTGCGCGTGCTCTCTAACAAATAAATAAAATCTTAAAAAAAACTTTTAAATACAGCTAGAACTCTAAGGCCCTGCATGATCTGCTTCCTACCCTCATCTCAGCCACTTTCTAGCCCTGCTGGGCTCTTCTCAGTTTTTCCATGTGCCCCACTTGTTCCTTCCTCAAAACCTTGACATGAGATATTCCTTTACAGAGAATGTTCTTCCCATTATCCTTACCCTAACCTAACTCTTTCTGCATCACTATTGGCTCACATCACTTCTTTCTACCCTCAATCTAAGTGACAGCCCCCGCCCCCCGACATTCTTGCTTATTCTACACTGTAATTCTTCACAAGCATTCATCGCAACGTGTAATTACATACTTATGTGATTGCTTGATGAATGTCCAGTTTCCCAAAAGACCAAGTTCTATGTGGACAGGCACTGTTTATTTGGTGCATAATTCTATACCCAGCACGTGGCCTGGCCTGGAATATAGCAGGGGTAATGAATAAACGAGTAAATGACTGAATGAATGTAAACAGAGTGAACAGCTGTGCAGAGATCCTGATCAAGTAAAGCAGAGTGACAAGAAGGACTGTAGGAAATGTGCATGGCTAGAACTGCACTCCTCTGAATTCCACAGGGTGATCCTAAACAAGCTTTCTTGCCCCTGACAACCAGTTTCACACCAGCTCAGTACACTATGGCCTAGACACACACCCCAAAACACATGCAGACAGGCTGGTGTGTAATTACCAAAAAGAGAGAAATCCACATCAGAGGAAAACCATTATATAGCTTCTCCTCTTTTGGCTCAGCGGTTAAAACATACTTGTGATGGTCACATCTCCATTGCACTAGTTAATGTCTGAGAAAAACCCCTAACCTTGACTGGCCCAATATATTTATCCATCTTACTGTTCATCCCAAGAAAGAAACACAGGTTATCAGGCTATGGATGAGGAAAGAGACAGCCCATCCCTAGGACAGTCTCAGCATACCCACGGCAGAATATTCTAAAAGGAGCAGCCAAAAATCTTCTAAATTTGATACAAGTAGCTCTTAAATCAATACACTCCCAACAGGGAAAACAGACACAAGTCAGCTGCTCTTAGCAAATGTTCCAGAGTTCGGAGGAGGGGCAGCAGCTGTATCTTTAGGGCTCAGACTAACTCCTTTTAAGTTCCTTAAAAAGATTTGAAAAGAGGACTCCCAAGCTTGAGCCCATGCCTATGGGCTCAAAATCTCCCCCATAACATTCCCTTCAACTACTGGGAAGCAACTGAAGCAAATGGAAAATATCCCCTATAGCCGAGCAGGTGCAGGATCTGAGACTGGCTCCATAGCTGACTTAATAGGTAGCCCAAGGGACTCATCAGCTGTTCTTTCACAAAATGTGGGAGAAGAGAGATTCCCTGAAAAACTCTGACAATGCAGAACACCCCTAGAGAGCTGCTAATAAGCTGACCAAAAAAAAAAAAAAAAAAAAAGAAGAAGAAGGAAGAAGAGGAGGAAGAGGCAGTATTTTATAAAGTCAAGCTCAAAGTTAGTAAGGTACAGTTCAAAGCCCTATAGGTGACATAGTACAAGTCCTAGGAGAAACACAATTGAATGTCTGGTACCTTGAAAGAGTTATTATAAAAATATAAACTCGTAAAACTAACAAACAGACCCAAGAATATATGCCTTTCATTCCACCCAATAGTTCTATGTGATTAACCTTTTCCAAACTATGAGAATATAGCTGAGGTTATGTTTCCAATTTAACATCAGAAGAAACTACAGTGGAGATAGATTAACTTGCCACTAAAAGACCTAGATTCTAGAAAGTCAAAAGACCTGGGACCTAGCCTTACTTCTGAAATTTACTAGATACAATATTTGGCCTTGAAAACAGCGAAGAATTATTACTCTTTGAGTTTCAGACTCTTTGCTTGAAAAAGGGAGGATCCTTAATGAGGATCCTTAATGAGGGGTATGAAAAGATCTCAATCTTGCAAACTACGGCAGAATGTCCTTGCTACTACTGGCACACAGGTTTTCCTGGTCTCACTCCAGTGCATTACTTCTTTGCACTGCAAAGCTGACAAACAGGATTGGCCGATCCTTTTCCAAATTAGTTTTCAACCACAAACAAACAATTCTGAAAGGTGAGGTGCCATGTGTTCTAGATATTCCAAAAAAGCACCAAATCTTTGGGTGCCAGGTTAGCTTCAGCCAGCAAATACACCCCTTTCATCAAATGATGTTTCCAGGTTACTATCCTTAATCCAGATCACTAAAGAGCCCTGTATCCACTGGGTCTTGATCAGGTTCTGGTCCTATTAATTACTCCTAAAAGGTAACTCACTAGGAAATCTACCCAGTGGAAAGATTAAAGGGTGCTCTTGCTCTAAGAGTCCTAAAGCAGATTTCAATCTGATTCCTCAAACCACTGGATTAAGTCAAGAGACCTGCATTCTAATTGTGACTTTCCTACTGACAAGCACGATTACTACTCCCTATGCCCTCCATATCTCTATTATCATAATGAGGGGAACATCTATGACTCTCAAACCTGGCTGTTCATTAGAATCCTCTGGAAATCTTTAATAGATCCCTGGGCCTCACCCCAGACATACCGGATAAGATTCTCCGGAGAAGGACCATATATATCTTATGTGTCTCCCATGTAACAGAATTGTGGATTATGAACGTCCACAGTAAGTTCAGCAATGCTCCCTCCCATCTTCCCAGGAGCTGCTAGTCCCTCTCACCTGTATTCCATGTTGCTGGCATTCTTGCGAGTGGCAGTCAGTTCGACCCCATTCTTTGTCCAGTAGCTATATGTAAGAGTGTGAGAGCTGGAGGTGAGGTTACACTGCAGGGTGATGGGGAGAACAGGGCTGTCTCGAAGAATGACCTCTTCACTGGTGACAATCCTTGGCTCTGTAATAAGAGTGCACAGTGATAGGGAGCCATAGCCTTCCATTCTCTGTAGCCCTGGCCTGAGAATCGGATGGGGTAGGATGGGGAGACTAGAAGAAGAGGGAGGGCAGACAGGACCACATGAGGAATTTCACTTTACCACTTTGGAGGAAGTCAAGAAAGGAAAAACAATGATTATAAGCAAATGACCACTAGCGCAGACAACAGCCTGAAGACCAGTTGGCCTAGACGTGAAAAGAATGGGAGTATTACGGGTACTTGTACTGGCAACAATCCACTTACACTTTTGAACACCACAGTTTTATGATTTAAGAACCACCAACCAATTCAGCTTCAATTAGAAAATCAGGCTCCGCCTTGCAGTTCTGAAGACAAAGGCAATATCATTTATGTAACTAATAAACTCCCTATGGAGTCACTAAGCCTTGGAACAGTAATAGCTAGAATTAGATAATACATGTATGGCTTTTCCCACATTAAATTCTGATAAACCTATGGCAAACCAGCCATGGTCATTAATTATGCAGAAAAAGACAGTGTCGATCCTAACAGCAAATTTCCTGCCAGTAGTCTGTTGCATTTTCCAAATTTTGCCAAGGGAAAATTCTTAAGGAACCATCACAGTTCTTCTCTCCAGCCCGTATTTATTCCCAAAACAAAACTTTTTCAGAATTGCTAAGTAAAACACATTCCACTGTGCAGATAACATAACTAGAATGCGATATGTGTTGGTATCATGTGTTCCTAGTGTTTTAGAGCTAAAAGGCCCTTAGAGTTCAGTGAATCCCACTCTTTAAGAGCTAGAAACGGAAAATGACTTGTGCAAGTCATGACTTAGTGGCAACGCTGGGCCTAGAACACACATCTGACTGAATTCGCTAGCTCTGCCTCCCTTCCCCACCTCCAACCCCCCTCCCCCCCACCCCGTCACTTTCCGCCCTACATCAAGTTACATAATTCATCTTCTGGTTCTCTCCTGGGCTTAGATAACCTAGGGTCATTATTTTAGAACCTACAAAAATAACCTACTTGACTCAAATATTAGAACACATTGAGCAGAAATGTTTTAAGGCACACTCTATCATTCCTGGAAGGTTCATCCTTAAAAAAAATTCCACCACTATATTAAAGTCAAGATGTTTGTCGTCTTGTTATTACCGTTACTTCTCTCTAACCTTTTCCCAAGCTTAGCTGTTACTCTACTTTTGGTCAGACATTTTCAGGTGAAGTCTAAACTTTTCCCATCCACAATTAGAGGTATTTCCTCTTTTATTCTTTTTCTAATTGTTTCTCAGAAATTCTTGACTAACTTCCCATTTCCCTGCACCTGGCAACTCTGTAGCAGCAAACTGATACCATTTTATGCAGTACGGTGCTGACTCTTAACTCTTGAGGACAGAACTCTCTCCCTCCACTGGAGCTAAGCTTTGTCCCCTGTGCAGGGAGGGGGACAGAATAGAGAAGTCATGGGACACTTGAAAAATATAATGCCCAAGGACCTCCTAATCAATGCAACATTTCTGACTGTAGAGCTCATATCAAAGAAAACTGACAAATAAAGCAAATCCTCAAGTCTGTTCAATTAAAAGGGGTTCTCACTATTTTCCAATTCTGGCAAAGGGATAGTGGTTATCTTCCATTCAGCACTGGTCCTTACTGGTAACACCAAACGGTCTCTACGTACAGATAATGGAGGCATAGCAGCCACTAAGACAAAAGCAGATGCATGGAAACACGTTAGCGCAGTGGTGTCCCATGGTTTCCAAAACACACTGGACAGAAGCCAAATCCCTGGGCCTTAAGTCGAGCAGAACGGCTGCAAACCCTGCAATGGAAGGCGCACACACACCATCAGCAGAAAGCACCACAATTCCAGGAAAAATCAAAACCAAGCAAAAACAAAAGAGAGAACCAGTACTCCACAGAAATTAAAAATATAAAGGCAACATTAAAACCCAAACACACTTTTAGGTTTTTACTAAATTTTTATTATCCAATTTTATTTTCTGTCCCATGTGGGACTCTCCTTCTGGTTCTTCTTCTCAGACTGCACTGAGAAAGGGTAAACTCTGAGGATGAGGCCAAGAGCTTCCAGATGTCTCAACACAAGGAGGCCAAAGTAAGTGCTACTCTTACCTGTGACGATGCAAATGCTCACTGCAGCTCAGGGAGATCAAGAAGGTGATGAGAGCAACCTGCAGACTTTCTGCCAAGAATTCTTGGAAGGCAAAGGAAAGCACTTTTCCCCTTACGTGTTAAAGATCCAGGAGAGAGTCAGCTGGGAGCAAGTGGATAATTTAAATAGGTTTAAATAGGATTCTGCACCATAGGAGGGTGATGGGGTAGGGTAGCCTCCCTCCGATGATTGCTGTATATGGAAACCAGTGCTAAACCAAGCTCCTTGGCCAGGGTGCCACATCTGCATTCTACACCAGGATGAAGGTGGAGCTTTTCTCTCTGTGGTTTAGCACTGCGCATGAAAATCCAGGAGAGAGGAACATTTAGGAGAAGCCCAAAAATGTTTACCTGCCATTGACTCCTATTTAGAAACAGTGGATGGGAGACCCTTACCCTCACCATCACTCATGTGTAGAAGAACATGCTATGGCCAGGGAGATACCCTAAAAACTGGGCATATTTCTCTGTCTGCCTTACCTTACTCAAGGAGTTCTGGGGAAAGTACTGTCAAGAAGTCATCCTTAGGAGCGCCTGAGTGGCTCAGTCGGTTAAGCGTCTGCCTTCGGCTCAGGTCGTGATCGCAGGGTCCTGGGATCGAGCCCCACATCAGGCTCCCTGCTCAGCAGAGAGTCTGCTTCTCCCTCTCTCTGACCCTCCTCCCCGCTTGTGCCCTCTCTCTCTCTGTCTCAAATTAAAAAAAAAAAAAAAAAAAGAAGTCATCCTTAGAGGACTTCAGCCTCCTCCTGGAGGCAAATGTCCTTGCTAAGACCATAAAACAATCCAATTAGAGTGAATTCAGGGTGTTTTTTAGAAGTAGCAGCAGCTTGGCTCTCTAAAACAGTTAACTAGGGTTAACTGATTGAGGAAGTCTGGGACGAGACTGAACTGGCCAGGGTTTGGTTTAACCACATGCAGACACTTCTGAGTTAGGAAGTTTATTTCCAAGTAAACTGAGGAAATGTTATGTAGTACCCCCAAAGACTCCTCTTCTTCTGGCCCCAAGGCATGACCTTTTAACTCTGAGTCTACCTGAGTCAAGCTCCTGGAGTACAAGTACCAAATGCCCAGCCCAGTCCATGCCTACAAACTTCTGCAGATTTCTGTGGCCATTTGGGTAATTCTGCTTTTATAAGGAAAGGAGCAGGGGGCAGGAGAAGGAAGCGTGCAAGGGAAAAAGTGTTAAATTAAAGGAAAATTGCTGGGTTAATATTCCCCATTTTCACATAGACAGGTTTTCTTTTCCCCTTTCCAGAAGCAGGTTCTCTGATTGAACAGTGCCAGCTGCAGCAGCCTCTCCTCTCTCTCCCCTAAGGCCTCTCCTCTTCATAAGCATCTTCTAAGGCACTATACAGAACAGATGACTAACCTGCTATCTTCCACATAAGTATATAGATTCAGGGCTCATGTCCTATTATTTCCTGTGTTATTACCAAATTCCTCATAAATGTGTTTTTACTATTTTTACTTACTCTTTCTAAATCAATCAGTTCCTTAAGCCAGAACTGGCTATAAGTCTGAGTTCTTGAAGAGAAGGTGAAAACCCAAAGGGTCTTTCCATTAAATAGAGTATGCTCCCTCAATTATAATCAGGTCAGATGCGGGGCTAGAACTCTTCCTGGCCAGGGGCACTAGCTCACTGGTGGCTTTTCCCTCCTTCTTCCCACTGTACAAGTAGCAAGACACTTTTCAGAAAGAGAGGTGGCCACAAGAGCTCCTGTGTCTAATGTCTAATACTTGTACCTGCTACAACAGAGGAAGGGAAGAATTCTGAGCTAGCTGCTTAGCTCTCCCTCATCACTTAGTTGGAATTTAGTTTCTTCTTTTTGCAAAATACAAGAAAAGGCCAGTGTGAATGGCTTCCAAACTACTTCTGGGGTTGCCAGGGGATGAGGAGCACTGTGCCAACAGTCAGTCATCAAAGTCAAACTATCTGTGAACAGGAAGCAGATGCAACTCTGACTTTGAAACAGCATGATGGGGTTTTAAAAAAAAATACTTTGCAGTTTAGTGTCACCTGGTGCCTAATAGCAAGACATATGGAGAAAATCTCAGGCTGCTGCTTTTGAGAGAACAGGAGCCTGGAAGGGCAGGACCAGTAAGGAGCGTACTGCTGTAGTGGAGGGCTGTTATCAGAGAAGCACGTGCCGCTGTTTTAGAAAAGAAAAAGAGCTGAAACTATGGAAATATCCAAGCTTACATGCCACCCAACAACCAAAACACACCACCACACCGCACCTGTGGCGACATTCCCATCACAGAACAGGATGACACCAAGTCACAGTGAGGGAAGAAGCTGGGCAGACACAAACTTAAAACCATAGAGGTGAAGGCAGCTACTCAGAGAGCTTCAAACAAATGAACAGAAGAAATAAAAAGTAGTTAGATTGGGGAGAGAAACAAAAATAAAAAGGCACCAGAGACTAAATCAGCAAAAGGATAGCAGGAAAACCTACTACAAAATTAAAGGGGAGGGAAAGAAACAATTCAACACTACCCTGGTTTAACTGCCTGGTTTTTTGAGTTTTAAGTGGTTTTTTGAGCCCCCCCACCCAGTTGTCCCTCCCCACCTCTTCCCATTGCAGATGATTTTGGACAGGCACGGATTTCCCCAAGTTCTTTGTTCCTGAGGAGAAAGACACAGAGAAGGGTTGGGGGATAAGGGAGGTAGAGAGGACGGCAAAGAAAAAAAAAAAAGTTGCCACAGATGTTTTCATACACTACAACCAAAAGGGTCGTGGGTTTGAAAAAACGAAGACAATGGGTGGGGTGAGCGATCATACTGGGGAAGAGGGAAAGGAAGCAGAAGGGAAGGGTCATCGGGCCACCTCTAATGACTACAGTACTACTGTAGGGTGCTGGACTCACTCTGAAGGACGCTTATGGTGGCCTGGGCTCGAATCCATGTTATGGAGGGGTTTTGCCTCAAGTCATTCCTCTTGGGGTCGTTGCTGGCCCTGCACTCGTAAGTCCCAGAGTCCTCCAAGGTGAGCCGGGTTATTCTCAGCACACTCACGCCGTTTGACCCGTAGGCGGTGTTTACGGTGACACGGCGCTTCCGAGCACCGTCCCACAGCTGTCTGAAAGACTCTGCCCGGTTGACTTCTGCGTACCACCACTGGATCTCTGGCGTGGGGCTCCCGACCACGTCACAGTACAGCTCAAAGGCGTCCCCAGTGAGCTTAGTTTCTGACATGGGCGACTTGACAAACCCAGCTAGAGGGAGGGGGAGCAGGAATGCAGTGACAGGCCAATCAGAAAAAAAAAAAAAAGAATCAACAGGTGTTAATAGTAATTTAAAGAAAAGAAAAGAAAAAAGCAAATGAGTTGCAAAGAACAAAAAGGATTCATTTTTAAACTATAAAGAGACAGTAAATAGCATTTCATATAAGCTTTTAGAAGAAGAACCACCCTGGGAAGCTTATGAAGCAAAGGCAGGCTAATTACAAGCTGGGGCGGCCCAGGTGCTAGCCAGGCAGAAGCAAGCCCACTGGAAAGCGTTTTAGCAATGGGCCCAGTTGGTAGGAATGAGAAAGCCTCAGGTCTCAGGGAAGAGCCTTTTTCCTTAGAACACAAACCATTACCTTTTCAAATTCAGGCAAGCGATGAAAGATAACCGCAAGCAGCAGTAGTTCTATATGCCAAGTCAGGATCTCTCTTTTGGATGGGTGAACACTTTGTTAGAGATGCAATGTCTTTTGTGGGCCTCAACAAGAAATATTAACTGACCTAATGGTGCCTTCTCTTGGGAATCAAAGTCGAAATTTCAACTGAAAAGGCAGCATATTTCTCTCTTGTGCAGGAGTCCACCCTGTGTTTGGGATGGACGTCCCCCCACATCCTATTCTTCCCTGGGTCTTTGGCAAACAAACAGCCCAGCTAGCTGTGACTAGGTAGCCTCTACCTGAATGCAGACTTTCAGGCACAAGAAAACAAGACAGTCTGTACTTCAGAGTGAGAGTTACTATGGGCGTCAGCTCAGCAGGGGAACCAACAGCAACGGCAATCCAGCTCATTGCCAACAGAGGGACTATGCCTTCCACAATTCCATGAGTTCATACAACGAGAGAACTCTCCTGAAAAGTCAGTCTTAAAAATAACCATGGTACTTGACAGGCGCTGTCTACATAGTTTACTTGCCTAGCTCCCAGAGGCCAGCTCATAAAGAATAAGAAATATGTAATGATGAATTAAATTCTATGGTGAAGGCTAGGCCTCAACAATATTGCCAGGCATTGTTCAGGAATTAAAGTTGATGCCTACCTCCACTTGTCCATAATTTGCTTTAGGTTACACTCCCATAAGACAAGGTGGCAATGGCAGAAAGAGAGTAGAAAATCCAGACTTAATTGAAGAACTTGAGAGTAGGATCCATAATAAACTAAATCACAGCGCAAGCATACTCTCTCTCACCCATTTCCTCCACCTAGGGTTCATCAGCACTTCTACCAATTCAGGCAGTATCCCAAGGTACAGGAGGGCAAGAGCTGCTGGTCAATTTCTCTGGGGACCAAGCTGACCCCTCTGGAGTGAGCAGAGTGGGGCCAAGATCTACCAACATCAGATTAAAAACATTCCAAAGGAAAGGTATACATTAAATGGAACAGCTTTCCTACAGTCCAGAAGCCAAGGATATAAAGGAGCTGGCTGAAAATGGAGGTTACTAAGCGGAGAATTTTCTGTTTATACCCACAGAAGTACTTGCCTTTGGAAGTAAATCCACCCCATGGACCTGAGAACCCTAGGAGAGGT